AACTCACGATTCGATTTGATTTACGATACTTATTTCATAATTCGATTTTCTCAAAATTGATTTTTTAAACTAAATTAGATTTAAGACAAAATGTAAATGAAAAGATGTCCTTTTATAATTGCTTGGACAAAATGCTGCACATTTTTTTGTGAAACAGATACATGTCAAATGACAAAACTAAATTGAAATGTTAAAGGATACATATTATGCCCCTTTTTATAATATGTAATATAAGTATCTGGTGTCCCCAGAATGTGTCTATGAAGTTTCAGCTCAAAATACTACACAGATAATTTATTATATCATTTTGAAAATGCCAATTTTGAGTGGAAGCAGAAACACGCTGTTTTTCAGGCCTGTCTCTTTCAATGCAAATGAGCTGCTGTTCCCTGCCCTCTTTTCCAGAATAAAGCTGCACCATTACAACTCGGACCTGCTAAAAAAATCCATCTGTTTTGGTTCTGATTATCATGTTTATCGCGCTGAAATCATGCGTTTTAAACCATATTAGTTTAAACTTCTGATATATGGTTTTCTGAGTGCACATGGACAGAAAGCGGCTGTCACAGCATGTGAGTACTAAACTGAGTTCTCATTCACACACAAGCTTACGTTAAAAACACACAAGTTACAAAAACAGTCGTTTATGTCTGTGAAGGTAAACAACTGGGAAATAAATTGCATGTTTATTTTAGATCTGTGTGGCAGCAGCAATATACATTAAATCAATAAATCCACTGCTCTCTTGTCTCCCCTGAGGCTGGGTCTCTAAATAGTGTTCTGTGCTCGTCAAAAAAACCCTCTTCATATAAACAAAGGCTTTGCCTGTGCTCTTTCCATTCACAATTAGAGACAGCCACTGCATTTGAATCACAATCCAAACAAAGATGCCGAATATATGCAGCATGAGCAGTTTTAAAAAAATCTAAATTAGATTGTATAATTTGAAATTTGAAAACAAAAACAGAATGCTCTGACTTTAGTTTTGTGAAACTATACTACATAAAACATTTGCACAAAACAAAGACAGTAGAAGCTCTGAAAGAGACGCAATTTCACTCTCTTACAGCAGGTGGCGCTTATGGAACAGCAGAGATACAGCGTTTCCTTGGTTACCACTGTAAACAAAGCAGTGCAGCGCTCATGAATGCTGCTTTAATATGCATTATACAATGACGAGATGAAAAAAAATATATAATCTAAACATTTTTAAAGACAGTCAGTTCCCCTCAGAGATACATTCATATAAACTCCCAACCCCAAATGTATCACGATTCGTTTAACATCTCAACCGATTTGAATCGTCTCATATTTGTATCGATTTTCATCCGGCACGCGGTGAATCGTTACATCCCTAACTAACACATAACTAGTCTAAACAAACATATACTCTCACTCACATGTATATACATAGAGAAAAAGGAAACTAAAAGTGAATGAATGAAACGGTTATAGAAACCAGGGAATGAAGCTATGGAAAAAGAGTAAATTAACCACCTGAGTGAACTACCAGTGCCTTTGTAACAAAGTGGTCAGCCACTTACACTAAACCTCTGTTTAGCTTAGTAAAAGGGGTCATATGATGCAATTTCAAGTTTTCCTTTTTCTTTGGAGTGTTACAAGCTGTTTGTGCATAGATAAGATCCCTAAAGTTGCAAAGACTAAAGTCTCAAACCCAAAGAGATATTCTTTATAAAATACTTATAAAGAACACGCCCTCCTAAAACACCTTCCCAGTGTGTGGGAAGATTTGCATAACACCGCCCAAATGTTCACGCAAAGAAAGAAGGCGTAACTTTGATTCTCGCTGTAGTATTGTTGCCGCCGCCGCTATGACGTGGAGACACTGTGTGTTTCGTTGTGAAAGTGAAACTACTTTGGTTGGCCTTCCAAAAGAGGACACAACTAGAAATCAGTGGTTAAGTTGTATTTAAAACACTGTTCCAGAACAGTTCAACCCAAATATTCAGATGTGTGCAGCACATTTTACAGAGGACTGTTTCTTGAACCTATGAGAGTAGCCTACAATGCCATCTGTGCACAAAGGCTGTTTCTATAAAATGGGGCAATTCCAACTTTGCAAGGACAGTCTAGTGCTTCTGACTCACAACGTACTTACAGTACATTTTCATATTTAAAGACTTTGCAACTGATGATTCAAACGCGAGTTTTGGACAGTAAAGTAGCGCTTGTTGTTTGTTGTTTCTCCGATCACAAATGCAGACATGGTTTTATGTTTACGTGGCACGATACGAAATGCAACGTGTAAGAAGACAGTATAAGTCATTATAATCAGTAATTATGTCCCCAATGGATGCAATAAATGCCTCGCTTGTAATGGGTTTTATTTTTTTATTTTTTTTTTTTGACATGGCATCACAGTATGGTAAGGGGCATAACATTTCCGTCCCACGATTGAGGTATTCGGCCAATCACAACGTACTGGATAACTGGCCAATCAGCGTACATCTCGCTTTTCAAAACGATGAGCTTTGTAAAAATCAACGCGTTTCAGAAAGGCAGGGCATAGAGGAGCAACAATAATGTACAGTATGTGGGAAATAATGTGTTTTTTAACCTTAAAAACCATAAACACATTGCATTACACCAAATACACCAAATAATGTTCTTTTTAGCAATGTCATATGACCCCTTTAAATGTACGATATTTGCCATTGAGCCAGCGTCAGAATGCAGTCTCGGATGGAAGTCTTGATGGTTTGTTTGCTTAAGATGTTGAAGCTTCTTCTGCAGTTCCTTCCGGACTGAGGACTGGCGAACAGAGGCCTGTTCTGCCTCTGGGTGTTAGTCGTGGCTTGGGGGTATTTCGCAGACATCCTGACACCCACTCCAGTTGAGTGGTGTATTGGGATATTTGTTAAATATAACAAATAATAATGTGTCTGATTTGTTCAGCCATTACAATCATAATAATAAATGATTATTGAGCATCAAATTAGCATATTAGAATGATTTTTGAAAGATCTTGCGACACTTAAGATTGGAGTAATGGCAGCTGAAAATTCAGCTTTGCCATCATAAGAATAAATTACATTTGATTACATTGATAAAAAACTGTATTTCTTATGAAAATGCAGCCTTGGTGAATGGAACCTTGTTTCCACAACAGGATTAAAAAATAAAGGAAAATAAACAATAGCAACTTTTTATCTCATAATTCAGACCCCCCCCCCAACATATAAACTGGCAATTCTGAGAAGAAAAATCCAGATTGTAAGAAATCAAACCACAAATGTGAAAAAAGGTCCGAATTTTTAGATAAAAAGTTGCAATTATAGTTTCATGATTTGTTCAATGGCAGAAAAATTTAGATGTAATCTCAGAATCCTGAGAACAAAGTCAGAAAAGTGAGATAAACTCAACTGCAAAGTGTAAACTCTGAACTGCAAGAAAAAAGTTAGAATTTTGAGTTTACATCTGACAATTACCATCTTTTAAATCAGTTTTATTCTGATTTGTTTACATGTCAGAATAATAGTCATGGTCAAAAATTTTGTCAGTGACATACATTTTGTGTTTTGCAAAGTTTGCTGCTTCAGCATTTGTAGATTATTTTTCCACATGTTTCTATGGTATACTGAAAAACAATGATAAGCATATCATACGTTTTAAAGGCTTTTATTGGCAAAAAATATAATGAGTCAATATTTACAGTGTTGACCCTTGTTCTTCATAACCTCTGCAATTCGCTCTGGCATGCTGGATATTAGATTCTGGGCCAAATCCTGACTGATGGCGATCCATTCTTGCCTTATTAATTCTCAGAGTTGATCACAATTTGTGGGCTTCTGCTTGTCCACTCGCCTATTGAGGACTGACCACAGGTTCTCTATGGGATTGAGATCCGGGGAGTTGCCTGGCCAAGGATCCAAAATTTCAATGTAATGATCTTCGAGACACTTCTTTATCACTCTTGCTTTGTGATATGGTGCTCCATTGTCACAGGACTCATGGTCGCACTCACCTCTCTTCTCCGAACAATCAATTTTTCAGGTGTCCCAAACAGTCGGAAGGGAGCTTCATCAGAGAAAATAACTTTGCACCAGTCCTCTGCTGTCCAATCCTTGTACTTCCTGCAGAATTTCAGTCTGTCCTTGACGTTTTTCTTGGAGAGAAGTGACTTCTTTGCTGCCTTCTTGACACTAGGCTGTTGTCCAAAAGTCTTCACCTCACTGTGCATGCAGATGCTCTCACACCAACCTGCTGCCATTCGTGAGCAAGCTCTGCACTGGTGGTGACACGATTCCGTAGCTGACTCCTCAGGAGGAGACGGTCCTGGCGCTTGCTGGACACTCTGGGACGTCCTGAAGACTTCTTCACTGCAGTCGAACCTCTCTCCTTCAAGTTCTTGATGATCCGGTAAATTATTCTTTCAGGTGCAATATTCTTTGTAGCAATTTTCTTGCATGAGAGGCCATTTTGATGCAAAGCGTTGATGGCTGCATGTGTTTCTTTGGAGGTAACCATTGCTAAGAAGAACACAATGATTGGAAGCGCTTTTTCCCTCCTTTTATAGCAATCAGTCTGACTAGTACTAGTACTAACCTGACTAGTACTCATTCACACTTTCACATGTGCTGCCGATATGATTAGTCAATTAATGTTAGCTGGTCATTTTGTGTCAGGATCAAAAAACAGTGAAATTTGTTTTTTTTGTGTGAAAAGTTCTCTCTTTTTTTGGCCAATTAAGCTTTTAGCAATTATTTAAAATACATCTGATCATTCTACACAATGATCTAGAAACAATGTAAATGAACACCACAACAGCGTAAGCAGCAAACTTTGCAAAACACAAAAACGCAAAAACCTTTGGCCATGACTGGACATCTCTTATTTCAAAAACTATAAAAAAATATTTTGAACAGTAGTATATATCGCAATACTGTTTGACTATCTTATCAGTATTGAAATACGTATTTTAGTTTATTAGAAAATTTCAGTCAGTTAAATGGAGAATTAACCTCACTTTGGTGCTCCAGGTGACATATTTGTGGTGCAGTGGGACAACGTGAGGCTGAAAGATCGAGAGACTGAAGGAGCTTTCACCTTCCAGACTGTTCTCTGTCATAACGGGACCATTGTTTTCAGCTACAAAGACGTAAGTCAGGTTCTGCAGTTTAACCAAGATCAATTCAGCACACATATAGCCAGCTGTTGAAATGCTGAGTATTACTATGAAAATGTAATCACCACTTAAAGTTGTTTTCATAAAAACATTGTGAAATAAATTGCTCACAGCCCCATTACCATTGCATATCAAATTTACAAAAGAAGAGTGAATATGATTTTGATAGTGTCCAGTTTCCTTCTTTTGACTTTTCATAACAGGTTCCTTTGCCTGTGGAGAAAATCAACTCCACTGAGCATCCAGTGAAAGTGGGACTCTCTGATGCCTTTATGGCTCTTTTGTCTTCTCCACAGTCTCCAGGTCAATTGAGACCTTTAATTTATGGTACATTTACACTGTTATCCTTTTAACCAATACTTCATTGATGTGTCATCAACAGGTGCTAAACGGCAGACTATTTATGAGTACCATCGGGTGGAGATTGACACAACAAAGATTGTCAATATCTCAGCATTTGAGTTTACCCCCTTACCAAGTGAGTAAATCGATCACAGCTTGCCCTTCTCTTCTTTACAACAATCACAATTGCTCACATTGAAAACAAATATTCATGAATTTGACTATTTACAGATTTGCACCCTGACATTAGACATTATATCCTGTTTTATGCTAGCCTGCCTCCAGCACAATTCCTGTGAACAATGTATCCAGTCCAACCTGACATCAGGCTGTGGGTGGTGCAATACTCTACAAAGGTAGCAGCGTTAGATCTGAGTATCTGCTGTGTGTTTCTGCAGAATTCAGGTAAGGCATTTGTTCTCTCTTGACAGCTGAATGTATGCATCAATAATCTTTCAGGTGTTCGACTGGAATAGACCGATACAGGCAAGAATGGCTGGACTACAGTTGCTCTGAGGAGGTATGGACAACGAGTCACCAAATATGCATAAACCTTTTTACTGCTGTGGGTACTGCTGCTGCCGCATCTGCAAAATCCAGTTGCAGTCTTTGACTACTCAGTGGCGCTTTAACCATAGACTTTGACAAGTTATCAGACAAATGCTCCAACGTGCAGTTTCATGAGTAGCAGTCAGCTTTGCCTTGCCAATGGACTAGATTTGTCAGCTGCAGTCAGCTAATAATCTAAGAAAAAAACTAAGGTAAACAAAAATTCATATTCACAGAAGCAAATTACTAACTTATTTGCGTTTGTTATTTAGAATGAAATGAGAGCAGCACACTTTATCCATCTCACTCCACAATAATACAAATAATCATATATAAAACTCGACAAGTGATCACGCTGCATTTGATGTGGAAAACCGTAGAATTGACTTTTGGATAATAGCATAAATTTTGTTCATGGGGAAACCCCAACCCCACATAAGAAGTGTTAAAATGATGAATTATTATATACAGTGGGGCAAAAAAGTATTTAGTCAGCCACCAATTGTGCAAGTTCTCCCACTTAAAAAGATGAGAGAGGCCTGTAATTTTCATCATAGGTATACCTCAACTATGAGAGACAAAATGAGAAAAAAAATCCAGAAAATCACATTGTATTCACTGTAATAAGAACTGCAATGACTTTTTAAAGTTGTTCTGAATTTTGATCCAAAGCACAATCATGCATTATACTTTACTGTCACTATTAGTCCTGTAGATTCAATCTTTCACATATTCCATAGCTTATTGTGAATATAAACCTTCAATTTTGGACACCGCAAAGCTAAAGTGCACCCTATTTCTGCATTTGGAAATGAATGTTGTAAATTGAGTTCAGCTGAAGTCATTTTCACAAAAGGCTAACATGTAAATAGATATGTAATACATATCTCATTAATGACAAAATTATTAGGCTGAATTGTGTTGACTAATTCATGTTTTATTTTTTACATTTTGGACGGATTCCCCCAACCACACACATGCCAAAACTTATTCTGCATATGAATCACATAAATTAATAACTGTCCTCAGACTTTATAGGCCTAAACGTGTAGCTTTAATAGGCATTTTGGTTGACTACCTACCAGGGTTAGGTCTATATTCTGTCATCATTTACTCTCAAGATGTTTCAAAAGTTTCTTCTGTGTAATCAGATAGATAGATAGATAGATAGATACTGTAGGTAGGTAGGTATTTGGAAAAATGCCTCACTGTTTTTGTACATGAAATGACAATCAATGGGGTCCAGTGTTGAGTTGGGCTAGTGTTGTTATTGTTAACTAAAACTAGTAGAGTTTTCATTCATAAAATTAAGGTGAAAAATATATATATATTAGATAGATAGCATTGGACTACATTGATAAAAACAGTTGAAACATTTTTCAAAATATCTTTGCTTTCCATGGAAGAAAGTTATATAGGTTTGGAATTGACATGAGGTAAATGACAATTTTCATTTTCGCATGAACTGTTCTTTAAACAAGTCATTCATCAACTGTGAATTTCTAGTGCCACCAATCATATGTAAATGTGGCTGTTACTGAGTAACTCTTATAAAATAAAATTCTCAAAACATAATTAGGCAGTCAGAAGAATGATAATCATATTTACTGTATGTCTATTGTATTGTCAGAATAAAGGTTAATAGAAATGGCCATAATACTACTTTAATGATGATGAATCATCATTTACTTCCTGTGGCAATTATGGTGGCTATGTGGGCAATGTTAGAGCCAAAGTGAATGCTGGCTTTTTATTCACACTTCCTTGTATTAAAGCATAATTTGAGTTGGTATGTGCTTGTCTAAGGCAAAAGACACATGTGACGATTATGCACACAGAGGACCAGAGAGTTCAGTCAGCCCTTTTAATTCATCATCGTCAGTGATGACTCCGTCCCCTGCAGCTCGACCCGCTAATCCTGTGACCGAAGGTAAGTATGTCCAATAAAAATCTCAATGATACTTAAAGGGGTCCTATTATGCTTTTTCACTTTTTTAATATTAGTCAGTGTGTAGTGTGTATGTTTGGGCATTAAAACGATCTAGAAAGTTACAAATCTCAAAGTCCACTCCAAAGGGAGATATTTCGTTTTTTTAAAAATCCCTTTTCAAGAACTACAACAAATGGCTCGTTTGGACTACAGCGTTTGTTTTCCGGGCTTTATGATATCACAAAGCGGCTCATTAGAATTTCATTACAAATAATTCCCGCCTACAGAAATTCGAATGGTTGGGGAGTGGGGAGGGGAGGGGCGAGGTTGTGGTTAGAACGCTTGGTTGAGTGAGTGCATCAGACGAGACGACGAAGAAGAAGAGCTGCTGCAGAGTTAGTGCGTCAGAGAAAACGAAGAAGAAGAGTTGCTGTGCTGTAGCGTCAAATTTTCGGCATGTCTAGAACAGCGGTTCTCAATTCCAGTCCTTGTGTACCCCCGCTCTGCACATTTTGTATGTTTCTCTTATTGCTTCATACGTTTGTTATATTTGACTAAGTGCCCTGCGAAGTGGACATTACCGGATATTCCTCCATGGTTATATGTTCCATACAAAGGGAATTTAAGTGCGCGAGACGTGAATTAAAATTTTATTTATTTACAGAGGTATATTATGTCCCACTTCACGCTTCTCTAGCAAGTTTCGTTTGTGTGTGAAGACGCTGCAGGCAGCAGCGCAGCGCAAATCTGTAAATTAATATTCCGAAGTGAAGTAAACTTCAATGGATTTCCCCTGCTCAGGGAATAGGGAGCAATGGCCACTGTGTTAACAGGTGTGTTAACAAAGAGAGACGTGCAAAACATGCAGAGCGGGGGTACGCAAGGACTGGAATTGAGAACCGCTGGTCTAGAACAATTCTTACAAGTACAACACGGCGTAGCTGGGCACCGCGGACAGACACCGAACGGCGCTGCCGGTGTGCCTACACTCACAGAAAATAAAGTATTTGAATTTTAAAGACGTGGCGCGACGCTGCGCTTCTCGTCCAGTGTGCAACCGCCTGAAACGCTGTTTTTTTCACCTCCGTGCCCAAACGTCTTTGTTTGGGCTTTCGAAAGCGGATGATGTCAGGAAACAGTGGTTGCAATTTATTTTTTAACTCTGTTCCTGAGCATTATAACCCCAATTTGCTATTGTGTGCTGCGCATTTTACTAAGGACAGCTTCCACAACACGAGTGAGTAGTGCCGGATTCGCCAAAAAGCTTTTGTTGAAAGACAGAGCAAGGGGCGTGGCAGGACTGAAACACCGTCTAAGCTGTTCGCCAATCACAACGCACTGGGACAGCTAACCAATCACAACACATTTTGTTTTTCGGAAGGCGGACCTTCATCAAAGCTGGAACTAATCGAGCCGTTTGTGCCAGGATGGTGAGAGAGGTGTTGTAATAATGTAAATTATGTGAAAAATAATGCGTTTTTCGAACCACCAAACATGAGAGCATGTTCTAGTACACCCCCAAAACAAAATCAAGACTTTGTAAAAGAGCATAATAGGACCCCTTTAACAACAGACCCTTTAAACCCACCACACTCATAACAGCAGCATTTTTGTGATTACTAAGGATCAGTCTGCATGATTTTTAAGGTCTTTGCGGTCAGCTAGACTGATAATGTATGTCTTGTCTTGTGTGCATTGTGCATGCAGCCCTTAAGTTAAAATACTTTTGTTATGTCCTACCTGGTCTTGTGCTTGCATTGCTCTGTACAACAACAGTCTCTTTCCTCCACAGATGACACTAAACTTCTCTTTCACCACAATGGCAATGGTGAGTCAGTTAATGGCTTTGTGCTTCTTGGCTGTTACTCCTTCATGATGAGTATATTTCAGCACTTCTGGAGTCTGAAATCCAGTGGAAAGAGTTTGGCATGATCACAGATTTTATAGAGAAGCTTTTTCATCTAATCCTGTAACTAACTATGTAAGGATATTTAAATTGCTTCTTATCACCATTCCAACACCTTTATTTCTGTTCTTTTTTTCCTAATATTTATTATTATAATAGTGACAAAAAATTCACAGAAATCCAATCCAATCTTGAATAAGATTAATTAGATTTTTCATACCTCCACTGGCAGTTTTTATTTTATTTTTTATATTATTCTTTTTTGCACAAATCATTTTTTTATAAAGTCTAAACAGAATAAGTGTGAGTGGAAAAATAAACAGTTAAAAGTTTTTCTGCACATGGAGGGGGAGGGGGGGGGGGGGGTTTATAAAAAACAATCAAAATTAATGAATAATAATTTAGCCATAAATAAAATGATCCACATGATGACCTTTCACCTGATGATCTCATCTGGGACGATCCATCACATTCAGACACCTTTAGTAATTTAGCGCACCAGGATGCCTTCAATGACGTCCGCGGCTGCCGGTCCCGCAGTGGAGTTCTCAGCGGAGTGGTGTGCTTGTATACTTGTATTACTAAATTACTATTTTGCAAGAACGACATGAAGAGAACATGCACAGCTGTTGTTTATATTGCTGTTTGTAGCCTGATGATATGTAATTCAGTACTATATAGTTTATTTATTTATTACCTGGAGATAACTTGAAAAACACACATACACCATATATTTTCGCAATCGTGTGTTTATTGTCTTTACGTTTCATCAGTAAAAACATTTCTGCTTTTTATTCAGTTCAGCTACAGCGATAGTCAGATGCTTTTCTCCATATTAGGGATTTCCTGCACGTCATAAGTTATTACTTCTATGAGTCTGTTTCGGACTTTCTGCGCGAGAGCATCCTTCCGGCTTTGAGTATGAATGAAACATACACTGCATGAGAGAGTTCAGTGCTCCTGATTCACATCTCCTCATTTTTGGATACGAATAAAACATCAGGTCATTCTCAGACTATCGATCCTGTCTATTTGAATTTAAATCTAGATTTAAATCTAAAAACCTCTACATGAACACACCTGCCCGAATGAAGTGCAGGGGACGAATTTACATTTTATTAAGTTGGCTTGAGAAAGCCAACTTACTGATCTACTATTTAAACTAGTGCTAGTAACATGTTGCTATATCTTTTCAGACTGATCAGACTTAGTTTTTTTTATAAATAATTATTAAAAATGAAAAATTTCCCATATACTTACATTGGCTGAGAAAAATTGCGCCCCTACAGGAGCAATTCTCTCCTCTAGAAGGAGGAGCCGAATTACACCTCTCAGTTTCACTTTGAAATCGGTTAAAATACAAATAAATACATACATTTCATCCACACTGACAAGCTACACCAACATATCTGATCATTACCAGGATAGGATAATATGACTGTCTGATGGCCAGAGAACATGTGAAAGACGAGAGAACTGCCACTGCACCGATCAGCGATTGCAGTCCGTACCTGCTCACAACAGCGAATTCCCCAAATGTGGGAATCTCGACTGCATAATTTATGGTAGTGGGGGACTGCGTTTGTGCTCTCCCCTGAATTGTTTTTCAGGAAGACTCGTAACCCAAAAGTTGCGGGTTCGAGTCTCGTACCCCAAATGTGTCTCGTACCGGCAGGGATTGTATGTGGGGGGAGTGAATGTACAGCGCTCTCTCCCACCTTCAATACCACGACTGAGGTGTCCTTGAGCAAGGCCCCCAACTGCTCCCCGCGTGCCGCAGCTAAAATGGCTGCCCACTGCTACGGGTGTGTGTTCATGGTGTGTGTGTGTTCACTGCTGTGTGTGCACTTTGGATGGGATAAATGCAGAGTACTAATTCCGAGTATGGGCCACATGTCACGTCACTTTCACTTTAATTTTCAAGATCTTGAAAATATCTATTGTTGCTTTCACTATGGCTATAACGATAACACAAAATAATATTCAATCTCACATTAGACACTTTTAACATTGAATAAAGCACATACTCATTACCTGAGATTATCACTGTCATATTTTGTATGCTGTTTGCGACGTCGCAGAAAATAAAAACCGTTCCTAAAAGAGAATCCCATGTCGCTTATTGTCACGTGTCGCTGTCATGGGTGGTTAGGACAAAAACAACATAGAAAAAGATCATTTTTATTGCATCATATCTGATTGGGACACACGGTGTTACAGTTTGATCCCCCCAAAAAATCTAAGCATAAAAATATGAATACTGACAAATCTAATAATTGAATCTGCAATTAGGGAAAGTGGAGAGAAGAGATCCAGTCTGGGAATGAGCAGGAACAGTTGATTTGCATGGCAGAGATGGAGATCCAGATTTTTTGTTTGTTCATTTGTTTTTAATATTCAACAGGCAAAGTTCTTCTGTATAAATGTTCATAATTGTTTGAATAAAACTACTGGGGGAAAAAAATCAGAATATTCATCTTCTGACCATCTTTTGTGACCATTGTGATTATTTTAACAAAAGCAACAATAATATAATAATTGTAATAATAATAAAAAAT